GCTCCGTGTCTTTGTGGCTGGATGGCCTCTTTGCTAGAGCTGGGTATTTTCACCAAAGTCCTGAATCGATTCGATTTTGATTCATACAGTTCTGAATCGATTAATTTCGATTCAACCGTTTTTACAGTGATGAAAGTGATTCAACCATGTTTCAAAATACTCATGTATTTTATTTTTTCCAGTCATATTAAACACTAAGTGCAAACTTGTACATCAGACAGTTTAAACTTGAGATGTGAACAAAACTGCCTCAAAAGTGCAAACTTGTTAGTGAAAAGTGAAGCCTCACACAAGCAAGCAGCCATGACACAGTGGGGACACAGCAGACATGAGCTGCATTATCTTCAATGCACAAACCATATTTGCAGCGTTGTCTCTAACAACTACAGGGTGTTTGCTGGTCAGCCTCCATTTGTTAATGTCTTCAGTCAACCTATTGGCTATATTTGCAGCTGTCTGGCTTGAAGTGATCTTGGTGGTCTGTAGCACGAGATGCAAGGCGCCACTCATCATCAGTGTAGATCAGCGGTCACCAACATGGTGCCTGCGGGCACCAAGGGGCCCTCAAGGACCACAAGGGGTGCCCTTAGAGTCTTCTGAAAATAGAACAACTCAACAGTGAGCTACGTTTGAAATTTCACTGTATTCTGTTGCTCTTCTTTTTTAATTGGGTTATAGAACATTTCATCATTTAATCATATATGGCATTTAAGCATTTATAGAGATTTCAAAATAAAAATGTCTAAAAGAAAATTATACATTTAAAGAAACGATAAAGATATGTTTATAATGTATGAAGTTTAGGTGAACGTTGACCCTTGCCATTCATAGGTCAGTATTGGTAGCCCTTCCTGTGACTCAGTGCCCCTGAATTAGCCCTCAGCTGTGAAAAGGTTGGTGACCGCTGGTGTAGAGGGAAGCCACCTTGTAGCCATGTTTATATCCTCAGAATTCCTTGATTGGATTAAAATGTCTTTAGATTAAATGAAAAAAGTAATCCAAGTACATCTTTATGTCAAACTTCCCAAAACAACCAACGCAGACCTGTTGTGCTTCTCCTCATACAGCCTTGATCTAAATTCGAAGTGTTTAGAAGAATGCCGGTCAAATCATGGATCCTCCTAAATCACTCATCTTAATCAGAATACAGTCTAACAGAGTTTCTGTTGATAATATGCCAACTGGCTTATTTACACAACCCATTTTATTTAGATTGGCCCATTACTAGAGCCCGACTGATGTGGAATATTGACGGCTTTAAAAAAATGATATCTGATATAGGGCTGCAACTAACGATTATTTTAAAAATCGATGAATCGGCCGATTATTTTTTCGATTAATCGATGAATC